AGTTATTCATCCTCCAATTGTTTGCTCTTGTTTTTTTTCTCAGAGAGCAGTGTATTAAAGTCACCTGCTATAATTGTTGAGGCTGTGATTTCTTTTTTCATCTTTTTGGAGTGCTTGGTTGACGTATTCAGCCGGTCTCTCATTCGGGGAATATATGTTTACAATGCTTAGTGGTTCTTTGTCTGTCATTCCCTTGAGCATTATATAGTGTCCCTCCTTATCTCTTTTTATGGTTTGCACTTCAAGATCAATTTTATCTGAGATTAGGATTGCAACCCCTGCTTCTTTTGAATCACTGTTTGCTTGGTATGCCTTTCTCCAGCCTTTGATTCTCAGTCAATTTTTATCTGTAACCTTGAGATGTGTCTCCTGTAGGCAGCAGATTGATGGGTTGTGTTTTCTAAGCCAGTCTGCTAGCCTGAGTCTTTTAATGCCTAAGTTCAGGCCATTGATATTCAGGGTTATTATCTCCATAAACAGACTCTGTGGTGTCATCTTATACCTTTTGTGTTGGGTGTTTTCCTACCTTCCTTTCTCATTAGTGTGTTGTGCATTCGAGTGTGTGTGTTGTGTGTGTATCATTCTTGACTTCTTTTCATCCTTAAGCCAATGTTATCTTGGGGTCTGTTTTCTCTTTGTTGCCCTCTGGGTGAGGTCGTTTTATGTGGCAGTCTCTTATTTATGCTTGGTGAGTGTTGTTTTTCTGCCCATACTGGGTTGGCAAGGATCTTTTGTAGGACTGGGTTTCTCCTAACATATTTTTTAAATTTTTCTTTGTCTGTGAAGACTCTTCTCCATCTATCTTGATTGATCATTTGGCTGGGTAGAGTATTCTTGGGTTTTCATTGTTTTCCTTTAATTTTTGGAATATGTTACTCCACTCTCTCCTGTTCTTCATAGTTCCTGCTGATAGGTCTGAGCATATTCTTATTTGGGAACCTTTATATGTGATTGTTTTTCCATATCTGCTCTCATGATTTTCTCCTTTTCCTCAAAGTTGGATAGCTTAACTATTATGTGCCTTGGTGACTTCTTGGAATTCAGTCTAGCTGGTGTTCTTTCAGCCTCCTGAATGGTTGTCTCGTTTTCATATATAAAGCTGGGGAAGTTTTCCTCCAAGAATTCTCTCACTATTGTTGAGAGACAACTTCTTTGTTGTGTCTTCCTCCAGTAAGCCAATAATTCTAATGTTGTTCCTCTGCATAGCATCAGACATAGCTCTTAGGTTTTCTTCAACTTCTCTGATGATCTTAGATTTTTGTTTGTGTTTGTTAAAATCTGCTTGACTGTCCTCTTGTCGGTTCTCTGCTTCCTCCAGCCGATCTCGAGGTCCGTGTTTCTGCTAATGGTTTTTGTTATCTCCCTAAGCTCTTCTTGTATTTCCCTTTGGTGTATGAACTTCATCTCCTCTATCATTTCATCCTTTTTCTGTATTGTTTCCTTCAAATCCTGTATGACTCCAAGCAGCATTTTGAAAATTTCTTTGTGTAGCAGCTCAATGTCTGCTTCTTCTATGCATGTTGTTATGTTCAGGACATCTTCTGCCATTACCTTTTGTTTCTCCTGTCTTTTGTTTAAGGTTTTTGGGGCTAATGGCTGTTTGCTTTGGGTCGTTTTAGAGGAGCCAGGTGCCATTTTCCAGGGAGTCGAAGAGCACTGGCTCTCTCTGGGAGACTTGTAGGAATGCTTCTTAGACCTGCCTACAGCTAATTTCACTATGGAATTAAACTACCACTTTATCCTCCTGTGGTTTCCCTGTCAGCGGAGTGCCCAGAAGGCAGGTGGGTTGCCTGATTTGGTGTTGTGGAGGTTGGGCAAAGGATCCTGCAGCAGCTTGGAATGTTGATGAGTGTTGGTCGAGCTGCCTTAGGCCTGTATGTGGCAGTAAGGTAGGCAGGAGGAAGTTCCCTCAGTCACATGGGACAACAGAGGGAAAATAAGTGTTCCCCCCCCCCCAGGCACACAGGCAGGAATTCCCCTGTAAGAAGTTGGGCAGAGTATCCCCTGGTGGAGGTTGGCAGGGCTTTCCCCAGCCTTGGGCTAGCTGCACAGGGTGAAGCTCACCTAGCTGGGTGTGGCGCAGGCGTAAATGCCCTAGGCTAAAGGGAGTGGTCTGGAGGTAGTCACTGGAGTTTGAGAACAGGAAAGAGACAAAGGAGAAAAAAATTAAAAAGCCAGCTAAGTCTGTGGGGGGATAGAGAAGAGAGGGAAACAAAAGTAACAATGCAGCTGAGCCCTGTTCCCTGCCCATGGAGCTGCAAGGGTTTAGTCCCTGCCCCGAGGAGGCGGTGGCGCAGCAAGCTGTGGCTGTGTTGAGAAAAAGCCCCTTCAAGATTTAGGAGGGGATGGAGAGAAGAGAGGGAAACAAAAGTAACAATGTAGCTGATCCCTGCTCATGGAACTGCAAGGGTTTAGTCCCAGCCCCCGAGGCAGGCTGCAGCAAACTGGCTGTGTTGAGATTAAGCCCTGACTCGGGCTCCAAATGGTCCCGGCTCCCAGCAGAGACAGTGGTGGGGCTAAGATCAAGCCCTAGCTGGCCTCCACTGTGGTAAGCCAAAACCCCCCAGCCCCTCTAAACCTTGTGGGTCTCTGCCTACTTACCTTTATGATGCTCCTCCTGTGATCCAGCAGTGTTAAAATTCCCTCTAAGCAACTCTCCCTCTCCTGGCCTGATTTCTGTAGCGTCCTTCTGGAATTTGTTATTCAGTTGCCATCTTCCCAGAAGTCCAAAATGGTTAGTTTTTTAGACTGCTAACCATAAGGTCAGCAGTTCAAGCGTACCAGCTGCTCCCAGGGAGAAAGATGAGGCTGTCTGTTCCTACAAAGATTTACCGTCTCAGAACCCTCAAAAGCCAGGTCTACTCTACCCTGTATGGTCGCTATGAGTCAGAATTGACCCAGTGGCAGTGGGTTTGGGGTCTTGGTTCAGTTGAGGTAGCATGGTAGGGCCAGTGTGCGTTGAGATGTACGCTTGCTTGGCTGATGACATTAGGTGAAGTGGAAATGATCATTCTTCAGGAAACCTTCCTTAGGCTGTGCCCTTACAGAACCAAGATCTGTTCTTCTCAGGCAGACTGTCCACACCCACACAGGCATCCGGCACTTGAGAATGCCTCCTCTAGGGTACTATGCGCCTACAGAAAGGAGGGCTTTGGGAAGTGCCAATCACTCTTGACTCATAGTGACCCCATGTGAGTAGAACTGCCCTTTGAGGTTTTCCTGGCAGTAACCATGGAGCCCTGGTTGTGTAGTGGTTATGTGTTGGGCTGCCATCTGCATGGTTGGCAGTTCAAAACCACCAGCAGCTCTTGGGGAGAAAGACTGGGTTTTGTACTCTCATAAACAGTTACAGTTTTGGAAACAAAGAGAGAGAGGTCTGTTATGAGTCAGCAGTGGGTCAAGAGAATCAAGGAACAGATCCCTAGGTCTCTCTCCATAGCTACTGGGCAGGCTCAAACTGCCAACCTTTCAGTTGGCAGCCCAGCACTTCATTGATGCCCCCACCAGGGCATTTTTCTCATGAAACTGGGGTAACTCAGACACTAAAAATAACAAAAATGTTTGATCCCCCCCCCCTTGCTGTATATCCCTATTCTATTGTGTCTCGACATACTCTCTATCTAGGTCTACACACTCAATTATCCGTTATGTCAACATTTCATACACATTTTGTTTTATTCCATTAACTGCAATCCCCTCAATGTACTATCCCACTTCTCCCTGTGTTTAACTCTGAGCTCTGTCCTCAGGTCTGTAGTGCTCTCTCAGTCTTACATGGTTAGTCTAAAGGTGTGCTTACCACACAAGCCTTGTTGTTCCCATCAGAGACCCGTCTTCTGGTTGGCTGGAAATTGAGCTGGGGATGAGGTCTTTTCCAGACCAGGAGGGGTGACTAAAGGCATAGTTTTGGGGTTCTACCTATCTCTGTTTCAGTGGGAGGCCTGGTCTCTTATGATTTTGTCCCACGTTTTCCTCCTCCAGTCTCCAGGATATTTCTAATGTGAACCCACCATGGTAGTTGGTAGTGGTAGCTTGGCACCTTCTGGTTTCTGTTGTAGAAGCTGATGTTTGAGGGTTCCTTGGCCAGTGAACAAATGGTTTCCATCACTGTTTTTCCCAAAGTCTGCACAGTTGAACACAGTGTTTCTATCCCTCTAACCTTTCCTCTAAGAATTCTGTACCATTCAGTGTTTAGCTCATTAAAATGGCTGTTTTGGCATCCTCATGAGACCTGAATCATGTTCTTTTAAAATGTTCTTTGAGTTTAGAAACAAAGTACCAAATGTACTCTAGTATAAGCTACCTGAATATCAGCTGAGGCACCTAATTTTACCACAAAAACTGCATAAGAAATGTGCTGAAAAACTTGGCTCATACACAGATATATACGGTAGCCTGAAGAGGCAAGACCAAAGATCTGGGGTAAATGGCATAAGGCTCCCTGATGGAATTCTGAGCGAACAGCGAGCTGCTCTTGAAAAGCAAGTAGGTACATCGTTGTGATGGAAAAATTTCTCAGTACAACTCTCCTGCCCTTTTTTTCACCTGCACAGTTCTTGATTTTCTTGAAACTTCCTAATAATCACCTGTGGTGGATTGTCTTGTGTCTTTTGAGAAAATCTATCAAGATGACCCTTTTTGATTCTAAAAGAACAGGCTCCACAACCTTCTGGACTGAACGCCGTGCCTTAACTGGCCCGCAGATCCTCTCAGAGTCACTGTTTGCTAGGCCATTTTTGTTGTTTTTCTTCTTCTTATGAAGGCACCCTCAGGAGACTAAGAGAAGTGTATTACTGGGACCACGTTTCTGCAGCCATCCACTCGTGCATATGTGAACTAGGCATGCCCCCTCCCACCCCTGTGGCACTACTTTTTGACTCATCCGGAATTTGCTTCCATACCCAAAGGAGACCCAGGAAGTAGACAGAATTCTTCTCCAGGCTCCAGAAGGAGAAGGACTCAAGTCCCTGGCCTGATGACTGCTGTCATTCTGTTCCCAGGTCCGAACGTTATTTGTCAGTGGCCTCCCGGTGGACATTAAACCCAGAGAACTCTACCTACTCTTCCGGCCATTCAAGGTGAGCCTGGGGCAGAGGTTAGTAGGCGGGTGGCTTCCGCTTGGCCCGGGGCAGCAGGAAGGAAAGCGTGTCAGAATCTGGTCACAGACCTGGGCCTCTAGGCTGGTGGCACTCCTTCATAGACACCTCCAGTCAAGTTGCGTTGCCCCTCTGAAACGCTTGTCTGTAACGTGGGGACAACAGAGAATCTAATAGACTTTACCGTGTAAGGGATCTTTGAGGTTCAGTTGTAGCCTTTTCAGTTGACAAAGGAGAAAGTTAGGGTCCGTGATCCAGGATTATAAGCAGTGTAGCACATGGGTGTTTACCCATGCACTGGTGAGCACTGTGCCTGTGTGCAGGGCCCTGGGATGCACAGCATGGGTGGGGCAGGTAGGGGCTGAGAAGGATGCAGGTGTGTTCTGGGGAAACATGAGGCTGGTGGAGAGGGCCTGGGATATCCCTACAGGCTCTGACCTTTCCTATTCACTGCCCCCTCTCTCCACAGGGGTACGAAGGGTCCCTGATCAAGCTCACATCAAGACAGGTAATTCCCATCCCAGACTGCCTGCTCAGGGGACACTGAGGCTTCTGGCCACTGGGGCCATCTCTGTTCTGGGCTGATGGAAGGGCAACTATTGGGGATGTCTCCTCTTTACCAAGCAACCTGGCCCCCAAAAGGAAGGGCCAGTGCCCAGAGCTTTCTGAGGCCAAACAGGGTCTAGTTGACATGAGTTTGAAGATGATTTCAACCTGCTGTCCTTCAATTGAACCTGGGACCTTCCCATCTCCTTGATGCATTGAGGTCCCCTTTCCTGGGATACACTGGGATGTTTTCTGCCTGTTTAGGGAAGGTGGTGTGTGATGAAGAAAGTAAGACCTTGCCAGCCCAGGAGTGCTCCCTATGGTGTGCTGCCCGGGAGGGAAGGCTCTAGGCTGCAGTATGCTCAAACCTCCTTTTTATTATCTTTTATCAGTGGGACAAATGTGCTTTCTAGTGAAATGGCAGGTCTCCTCTGGGAAGGGGTGGGGTGTTGGGAGAGATGCAGGGTGTTCTCTCCTTTTTCCCACTAGCCTGTTGGCTTTGTGATCTTTGACAACCGGGCAGGAGCAGAAGCGGCCAAGAATGCATTGAACGTGAGTAGGGGCAATTGGCGCTTTCTCTGACCCATATCCTCTTGGGTAGCGGTGTCCCTGCTCCTCTTTAGGCACCCCCTCACTCCCACCCTCAACCTCTGTGCTCAAGGAAGGGCCATATACTTCCTTGCTCACCCTCCCAGCAGAGTCCTGGACTTGCAAGGTCCGTGCACACCCAAGGCCATTTCTCCCCCAGGGCCCAGGCAGCATTTCTCCTCCCTCAGTCTCTCTGGGTCTTCTGTACCCACTGCACTTGGTAGGCTGGATCCTGCCGAGTCAAGTCTTCTCTTTTCTTTCCTCCCTGTGTAGGGTATTCGTTTTGACCCAGAGAACCCGCAGACCCTGAGGCTAGAGTTTGCCAAGGCCAACACCAAGATGGCCAAGAGCAAGCTCATGGCGACACCCAATCCCTCCAGTGCTCACCCCTCGCTGGGAGCACACTTCATTGCACGGGATCCTTGTGAGTAGCTCTCAGCGCCGCCCTGGTGCTTGGCCCGCGGGAGCCCTTGTGGACTTGCTTATAGACAGCAGACACTCAGGTTTGCCTGTTCCCAATGGGCTCCTGGCTGCCCATCTCTGCTGCCTGCTGACTTCCTTTCTCCTCTAAGATGGCCTGAAGACCTGAGCTGTCTGTCAGGGTGCCTGACATCCCTAAAGTCCTCTGTGATTTCTCTAATTGGGGTGGTCTGGGGCCCTCTGAGAGCATCTCAGAAGTAGATGGGGAGATTCATGAGGTGAGGCTGGGTTAATGCAGTTTCCCCGCCCGGCCTCAGGACATCTGGAGTCTGACCTGGCTGGGAGGACAGTGGCTGAAGCACAGTGCTGAATCACAGTGCTGAATCTCCTTTTTGGTCTGAAAAGGGATGGATGGTAGAGGGAGAAACCAGCTATGTTCTGATGATTTGACCCATTGTCCCCCATTGTAGATGACCTAATGGGGGCTGCTCTGATCCCTGCGTCTCCAGAGGCCTGGGCACCCTACCCTCTGTACACTACAGAGCTGACCCCAGCTATCTCACATGCTGCATTCACCTACCCGACTGCCACTACTGCTGCAGCCCTACATGCTCAGGTGAGCTCCTGGAGGTGGGGAGCGGAAAGAGGAGGCTCTGGATAAATTGACGAGACCTGGTGCCCAAAGCTGTCACCCCACTGCTGTCTCCAGGATGGGTGGAAAGCCCAGGCATGACTGTCTGTGTTGGTGCCCTTAGGGTTTGGGATCTGGCTGAGGAAGAAGGTAAGCTAAGCTGGAGAGGAGGTCCAGGGATGCTCCCCATGCTGACAGAGGCCTGCTGGGTCGCCCCCCGCCCCCCTGCTGGGACACAATGACTGTGTGTTACCTGTGGTGACAGATTCAGTCACCTCTGTACCTTGATTTGGTATGGCAGATACATACCTCAGGGTTGCTGGGGATTAAATGTTGACACACCTTAAGTGCTAGAACCTTACCTGGCATATCCGTGTATTCTTGCTTTCACAAAGTCTGGACCCCTCCATTGTGAATGGTGGGGCACACAAGCATTTCTAAGGATGAGTTAGAGCTGCCTCAGGAGGGCTTCATATACCCAGAGCGAGGTGCCAGGAGTTGGGCCAGGTGTCTTAGAGACTGTGAGCACTGGTGGTTCATGGGGCAGGGAGGCTCAGCCTGGGCAGGCACTGCCCTGACCTCGCACATGTTGACTTTGGTCTGGTTTGGCCCGACGTACAGGACCCTCCCTCAAAAGGAAAAACCATTCTATAGTGTATCTAATTCCATTGTAGTAGCAAGCACCTCACACCATTAAGGGCTAGACAGTGTATGGGTAGGATGATGCCCGGCAGCCACAGGAGGTGGCTGGGGACCAGTGAGAAGGCAGAGAGAGCTGAGTGGCCAGCCAAGGTGTGCTGTGTTCTTGAGTGGGCACCTGGCCGGGGCCATTGGGCTGGAGAGGAAGGGAAGAGAAGCCTGGGAGAACCAGTAAGGGAGCACTCAGAGGAACTGGAAGCTGAAGGTGGACAGGGGTGGGAGCCGTCTGCACTCTGAGCAGACACTTGAGTGCTCCCCAGCCTTGGGCACAGGGACATTTGGGTTCCCGGTACAAGATAGAAAACTCAGGTGTAGTGTTTCCCTTGTCCATCTGTTTTCCCTAGCAGGATTCTGTATGAGGGTGAGATTGGGGTTAAACTTGGCACTGTTCCCCATCAGAGTATCAGACAAACAGGAAGTTGATCAGTGGAGGTGGACATAGCCAGCCTCCTCTGGCAGGGGTCAGGCAAACCTCCATGCTCCATCCTTCTTTACTTATTCTGACACCAACCTGTATCTATCACTAGGTTCGATAATTCGTTGTGATGGCCACAGAGAACTCAGACACTGCTCATTAAGGGGGTTTATTAGGGAAATCAATAGATTATCACAAACAGTAAGGACACAGTCACTGGTCTCCTTCTGGTCCTCAGCCTCTCAGTCACATGGTAGGCAAGTCTCTCTCCTCTTCTTAGTCTCTGAGCCATGTGAGCGTAAGCCTTTGCCTCCATGGGCCAGTAAGCTAGCCCAGCTGTCAACTCTGGCCCACAATGCCAGAATCTCAGGCCACATGAGGAAAAGGGGTCTGCCTCGCCTTAGTGCTGCTGCTCTGAGTCTCTGTGCCAGCCTTGGATGTAGCTGGTCTCAGTGGCCTCTGTCACTTCAGACCAAGATCTTGAACATGCTCTACCAAATGATGCTGCCCTTTCTCTCTCTGTTGCTGCTTCAAAGATGGCTCATCCATATAGGTGGGGTGGGTGGGTAGGGTGGTGACAGAAACGGACCAATCCCCTCCATTAGTGTTAACACGCCCTGTTTGTATAGCCACAGCAATCATTTGGTGTGGGAATTATAGAGATGGGTAGAAGAGTCATATGAAGAATTTTTACTTCATCACACAGACCTCTCGGGGTGGGGTGGAGTGCATGAGGATTTACCTCAAATGGGTCAGTCTCTGTAATGGGAAGAGCTTGGAGAGTCAGCAAGATGGTACCTGTCCTCTGACCTGGATCATGAGAGGGACTGACAGCTGTACGAGCGCTCCCCACAAGTGGAGGGTTCAGCTGCGGGCCATGTGATGTTCTGGAGAGCAGCGGGGTCGCTGGGAAGTGATGTTACCTCTGGGCATGTGTCCTCGTGTCTAAAAGGTGAGGGTTAGACAAGATCAGCTGCAGAGGTCCTGCCCATCTGCTTTGGGGTGCCAGCCCTTGATGAAGGAAGAGCAGAAGTTGAAGGGCAGGGCTCATCTTCTCGGCCATGGAGTTCAGTCTGCTCACAGTGACCCTGTGGGACAAAGCAGAACTGCCCACTTTGGGTTTCCGAGGCTATAACTCTTACAGGAGCAGAAGCAGCCTCATCTTTCTCCCAAGCATGCTGGTGGGTTCAAACTGGTGACCTTGTGGGTAACCGCCCAGTGTCTAACCTGCATGCCCCACCAGGGGTCCTGGGTGACAGGGACAGAGTGCCTTAAATAATCAAAAGGGACTTCTGTCCTTTCCAAAATGGCCCTCCTCAGCCCCTGCTGGCTAGAACTGGTACCTGCCTCTCTCAGCTCCACACCTCAACCTTTACTGTCTCTTTACTGTTGCCTCCCTTTCTAGCTTCCTCCCACCCTACCCACTGGGCTTTCCGGCTCTCGTCCAGCTGCTGCCGCTGGTTGCTGTCAAAACGAGTCTGACTCATGGACCCTGTGTGAACAGAGAAGAACCATTCCGTAGCGTTTACAAGGCTGTGGCTTTTCACAAGCTGATGCCCAGACCCATGTCCCAGGCATCTCTGGGTGGATTCAGAACCTCAGGCTTTCAGTTAATAAAAGTTTATTTGTTGTTGTCATTGTTGGCTGGTTTCCCCCTCAATCCCTTTGAATCTGGAGGACCCCATCGTGCCTGAACTCCATTCTGACCTCCTGCAGGGGAATATGGACGCTGGGCATTTGCTGCGGGAGGTAGACTGACAGCGAGAGATCAGGCCAGGGGATGGTTAGTGCTGCTTTTGCTCCTCGAGCTCTTTGGACGGCTGGTTCCTTGTCTGTAAAACAGGCTGTCCGAACCAGTTACAGTAACAGGTACAAAAACACACTGCATTGTAGCTTTTCCTCCTTTTCCTTGCCAGAGCCCCTGCCCCCAGCCTCTCGGTGGTGAGACCCAGAGAGGGAGGCTGGAAAGGCTTAAAGAGAGTGGCCACTGTAGCCCAGGGGACCAAAGAAAAGATGAATTGGACTTTTTGTGCCTCAGGCAAGGAAGTGTCTAAGATAAGGTGACCATTGACGGGATGAGGGGGTGTTCTTGATTAAAAATTTGGTCTATATAGACCAAATAGACCATTCCCTAGCTTGTCATGCATTCTTTCCAAAAATTGGGACTTTTAAAAAACGCCAAAAATCGGGACTGTCCCACCAAAAACGGGACATCTGGTCACCTTAATCTAAGAGAAGGTAGGCATGGCAAGAGGGGGTGAGAGCAGTACCCCGTGTTCTACCTCAACACACGCCCCATGACTGCAGACCCTGTGCTGCTACCCAGCCTATGCAGAGGCGCGACACGCTGTCTGTGGTCCCTGGAACCAGGCCAGCAGGAAAAGGGTCGGGTCATTCAGTCTTGACGGAAGCCCTTCTTGGTTGGCCTCCTAATCATCTTGGTAGTATCTTCTCATTAAAGAGGGTGAGGCCGGCAGGCAGGTATGGATAGCAGGAGCATACTGGGCGCCCTTACACAGAGACCTAGTCTCAAAGCAAGGATTTTCCACCGCCTCTTTTACCTTAGGGTCCTTCTTGATGCAGGAACTGACTCTCCTCCATGAGCCACTTACTCCTAACCTTGGTGGCACACACTTCCTTGTCTCTGTTTTCTTACCTGTATAATGGGGATAGAATCTTGATGATGCAAGCATGCTCAGCTGCTAACTGAAAGCTGAGAAGTTTTGAGTCTACCCAGAAGCACCTGGAAGAAAGACCTGGTTGCTCTATCAAATCGGATATTGAAAACCCATGGAGTTCTACTCTTGGCATGCGTGGGGTTGCATGAGGGAGATGGCACAGTACCGGTATTAAGAACAACAAAATCATAGGGGTTTTATGTGCATTAAATGAATTCAATGTGTGAAAATTATTTAGGAGCAGGATCTGGCACATGGTTAAGTGCTTGAAAGGCATTAGCTATTGTTGCTATTATGATTGTACATTTAGGGTAAAAAACAGAAGCAGGGTTGTTTTCCCTCTTTGGATTGTAATTTTACTCCCTAGAAACCCTCTCCTAGTAGACCTGATAGGTGGTGAGGATGCACGTAGGATTTGACTTATGCAAGTCGACCCTTAGATTTGTGTTTTCATCCAATAATTCATGCACATTTTGTTTCATGCCATTGTTTGCAAACCCTAAGTAAGAACGCTTATCCCACTTCTCCCTGTGTTTCCTTTCCATTCCTCCTCCTTGCTTAGCCCGCCCATGGGACTTCTTTAGGGTTATGCACAACCCACAAGAAGCATCTCACAGGCCATGCAAGGGTTACAGAGTCTTCCTCCTTGATTTTCCTCTTCCCACTGCTGGCAGCCACCAGTCTTCTTTGGCCTCTATGCCTTTGCCTGCTCTGGATATTCCGTGTACATGGGCTCGTACGGTATTTGGTTCTTTTATACCTGTGGCATGTATCAAAAATTCATTTCTCTTCATGGCTAAAAAATATTCCATTGTGTATTTGATTAGGGTCCAGGTCCCTTCTTTTGCAGATGGAGTGTCAGTTACCCAAGACACCCATTTGTTACAGAGACTCTTCCTTCCCTGTTGTGTGGATCCAGCACCCTTGTCAAAGCTAGTTGACCATAGACAGATGTGTGGGTTTGTTTCACAATTCTTAAAAACGGTTCCATTGGCCTATACATCTTCTTTATTTATACCAGTACCGTATTGTTTTGAATATTGTGGCTTTGTAACATACTTTGAAATGAAAGCAGTGTGAGTCCTACCTTTTTCTTTGTTGTGAAGATGGTTTTGGCTATCTGGAGCCCCTTGCAATTTTAATAAGAATATGAAGATTGGTTTTCCATGTCAACAAAATGGACTGCTGGGATT